AATATTTATTTCATTATAAATGCATAGCGTGTAAAAATTTATCTTTTGATAAGTATCTTATTTATTTTTATCATATTAGTTCTCATTATTTTTAAATTTTTTAATTTTGATTGTGTTTATCAATTAAGTTTAACTAATTGTCATTTTTCAAAATAATTTTTTGAATAATAGTAGTTACAAATTTACTTTCAATAATTATTTAAATTTATCATATTAACTAGTAATTTTTTATGAACTTTGATATTTTTATAAATTAAGTCTAATTAGTTGTCATTATTTTTCTTTTCAAAATTATATTTGTAGAAATATCAATATTGATAAAATAAATATATTCAAATCACATTATTTAGTTTGTTGCTATTTTTTATAAATCTTATTAAATGTTTATTTTGTTATAAATGTAAATTGTTAAATGCTTGCAGTTAATTTTACTATATTTTAATCTAAATTATAAAGTAATGATCACTTTAATCTTAACTTTATAAAATTTATCTTAATTTATAATTTATAAAGTAACATTTATTTTTTTAATTTTTAATACAAAACTAAAATTTTAAAAAACATAATAAAACAAACTTTTAACCGTGTTAAAAATGAAGTAAAAATTTTATAAAATCAAATATTAAAGTGAGTAATGCTTGCAGTTTTAGAGACTAAAGTTTACTCTAAAGAATATATAAGTAAACACTAAACTTTAGTCTTCTTTAACTTTATAAAAAGACATTACTTTTAGTCATTAGAATTTCATTAACTATAAAATTCGTGACTCTCAATTGCTAATTTAAAACTTGACTCTTATAATTTAGTGTTACATAAAATTAGAGGGTTAATGGTGTGACTGCAGTGTATGAGTGATGTTTTGAACATGCTGAAATTGAAGGATATTCTTGAATGAATTTTTATGATTGACTCAACAGGTTAAGATACTAGTTTAAAATTTTAATGGCTTGTGTATATTTTTTATTGATATTTTAAAAATATTAAAAAAAAATTATTATATTTTATCATAAATAATTATATTTAAAATATAAAAGTTGTATGAGACGTTTAAAAAGTTGCTTAACTTATAAAATTCATCGTATGAGCTTATTATTAGTCGTAAATTATACTATCTTAATCGTTATTATACAAAAATTAAATATTAATTTGTTTTTTCTGAATGAGGATGGATATTAGGTGTTGATCGTATGTGTCAATATCACGCATGTTCCATCGATTTCAGGGGCTCCTAATTTATTAAATAGGTACGTCAATTGGGTAGAGATTGCTAAATTTCCTTCTGTATCTGTCGTCTCGTGTTGGATGATGATTTATGATGAAATATGCAAGTGTCATGCAATCATTATTTAATAATAATAAAAAACGACTATCCAAGGCATGCGAATCATGCCACAATTAATAATTACACATTCAATTTTATTTTTATTTAAATAAATTTAATTTCAATTAATTAAATTTGTTTATTCAAATTTTACAGTTTTTAACCATTGTTAATTATATTTTAATAATTTTAATGTATTTTAAACACTTTTTTTCGTTAAAAAATAGTGTTAAAAAGTATATATTATTACGATGAAAAAACATGATTTAAAATATCAGAGAGAAATGTTTAAAATTCACTTTATTTATTTCATTTATTTTTAATTTTAAATATAATATTTTATTTATCTTTAAAAAGTTTTAGGTTTACTTTTGTATTGAAACTATTGTTGAGATATAATCCTTAATCGTCAAAAACTATAAAATTTGCTTATGTAAATTTAATTGGCTCAAGTAAATTTATAAAATTTTATTTAAACTTATCTTTCAATTTTATTTTTATTTAAGTAAATTTAAATTTATTTAAATAAAAATAAAAATAGATATTCAGCATAAACTGAAAAAAATTAAATCCATTAAAATTGAGTTTGAATCTTCTTCCATTATAGTAGAAACTGGACTTTTCATTTAAGATTCACTTAAACAAATTTAGTTTCATTTACATAAATTTTATAAAATAAAATTACAAAATTTTACAAAATTCTTATGCAGTTAAAATATGCTTAAGCTAATGTGTTTAGTGCACAAAGTTGTTTCAAGACTTTGCAGGTGTTCAGAGAAGGCCTTGAAGCTTTTGATACCGTGCACAATTTCCACTAACGAAAAACCTTTGACGTCCGATTTGATCAGGAGAGACTTTGCTTTTCTAAAATGCATTTAGCCTTTTATTTCTAACATCTTTAGAAATGTCTCTTTAAAATAATATGAAATGTGCATATTTATAATTAAATTATTTAATACAATAAATAAAATAAATTACAGCTAATATTTTTATAAAATGTTAAAATAATAATTTGGACAACATGGTAAACTCAAAAAGATTTCACTTATGTGTTAAAAACTAGTTCTAAATACTTTTTACGAAAGAATGAAAATATATACTTAACCTTTTAAGTATTTTTTAATTACAAAGAGTAAATTACTTAAAAATTACATCAATTATGTAATGCTTATTCAATTTTTATATAACTTTTTTTGTATTTAAATTTTTTTTAACAACCACATTTTACCAAATACATTATGTCAATTTTGTTTTATATATGTTGTTAGAAATAAGTTTTATAATAATCTTTCATGACCAACTTATCACGATGATCCAATTCTTGGAAAATTTCTATCAATTCTTCATAATACTCCGAGAGAGGCCTACTACTTTGTTTGGCAGTGAAGGCCTTTTGATTTAAAGTAAAGACTTGTAACTCATCACTTCCATCATAGAATGCCTTGGATAATGCACTCCAAATTTCACGCGCAGTGGCTAAGCGTAAGTAACGCTTCATAATTTCTGGGCTCATGGATAGCAACAACCACCTCTTCACCTTTTGATTCTCTGCATACCATTTTTCATAACCAGGATCTTGCTCTACAGGTTACTTCTCCTTGCCTCAAATATATGAGAGTTTCTCCCTCTCTGCAATATGCATTTCCATTATTTGTGACCATATGTCGTAATTTATTTCACTAAGAATGATTCCAGCATTGAAAGTACTTTCAGATTGAATAATGATAGGAGTCGATGCAGATCCAGATGATGCAGACCTAGATGATTTGCGTGCAGATTGTTTATCAGACATCTTATAGGTTCACAAGGTGTTAAAAAGAAAGATTAAGAAAATGGTGGATCAAGTTTAAAGAAAAGGGCTCGTGATACCATATTATAAAATGGTTTTCAAGCGTATTTTATATGATTACAGGGAATAGGTATATATACAGCAGTAGCAGAGAGGATATATCTCTGGAAAAAATAATACAATCCCTATAATTTAATTAAGTGAATCCCTATTATTTATCTTCAAAACTAGCTAATACAGCAAATCAATCTATATTTGATAATTTGTAATTTAGTGAATTAATAAAAAATTTCAATACAATTTTCAATCTTATAACTTTATTTTAAAAATAATAAATCTATTTTACATCAAAATCAAAAAGCTAAACCGATTAAAAATTAGAGTATGACACTAAAAACATAATCGTACAATTTGTTTTTCAAATGAATGATCTAACTACTGGTAATGAGCAAAAAACTAAAGATAATAGAGAGATAGGAAAAAATAGAAAATGAAAAAAAAAGGAAGAATTGTAATTTTAATCTAGTTCGCATATTATAAATGATTTTTTTTTGTCTATAACTACTTTAATGGAATGATGCATTTTAAAATCTTGAAAGGTAAAAGATATATTCCAAAACAATTCTTGGTTAATATATTGTCTTAATTTTAAATTATAGATAATTTTTTTTTGTCTAAAAATTCTGTCTATAATATTAAATGTTAAATGGCGGGTCATTTACAGACCAATTTTTTATATATGTATTTCAGACCGATTTTTCCAAAAAACTAGAAAAAAAATCTATTTATTGATTTACTGTTTGTAAATTTATTTATAATAAGAATAAAAAAAAATATTTATAATTTACATATTTTTAGGAGTGTATGGTGTTAAAGAAGTTGCATATCTCTGTCTAGTTTGAAATGTAATAATTCTCGTGAAGTTTAACTTACAAAGAATAATAAAATTGACTATGAAGGAGAAAAATAGGGGAAAAAACAAGGAAAATAGAAGGAAGGGGAGGAATACTTCTAATCTAATGGGAGATATGTGTATTGCACATATTAAGAAATGAGTGTATGCCTGATATACATGTTAGTGTTGTTAAGTGAGTGTCAAAAGTTGGTGAATGAGAGGTTCAAAATTATTGTTGTTAATGATAATAAAAACCCAAGTTTGAGTACAAGAAAGTTACATTGCTAACTTGTAAGCCACTATTATTTGATAGTATAATGATGCCTATTTTAATGTACAAATTTATTTATTTTATTTTTTATAAATATCTTTTAATTTTATAATGATCTAGTAATCCAATACCTTGACTAAATCATTGGTTGGATGCAGTTTCATAACATCGCATGAGAAGTGATGTTGATTTACAAGTAACAAGCGGGTTGAACTTGTTGGTCCTAGCTCGTCAAAAAATTTGTTGAAAAATAGGTTAAAATGTCTTCCCTTATTTTTTAAAGTGGATTAAATATTTTAGTTTGATCTATTTAAGGATGGGTCGATGAAATATCTCATTAAAGATTAACAAATTTAAAAATTATAAAGTTAGTCAGCAAGTTAACCCACTAAAATTAATATAAAAATTAAAATAATTAATTGTAAAAAATGTATTTTCCTTGCATTTTGAAAATAAATTTAGTAACGAGTAGAATTGATTACAAATAAAGTGAAAACTTTTAGCTTAGAGGTGGATAAATGAAGAAGCAAATCCGATCCAGCCGGAGTTAACACTGACCTGAATTGGGCCTGACCAAGATGTGAGCTACGCAATTGGGCTGCCCATTTGAAGCGTCCAAACTTAAAGATTCCCCAAGTTCAACGTTTTTCTTCTTCTTCTTGTGACACTTACCACTTCACTCTTTCTCAAACGCCTCGCTCAAGCTCGCTCCTCGGAGGATCACGAAGCGATGCCGTTTTTGGACCGAAACCAGCTATGTTGAGCTATGATTACACCGCTGTCAACTAAACTCCTCAACATAAGCATAGCCGCGATGTGCAAAGTAAGGCAAATAACAAAAGCCGAAGGAGTAATAGTCGATGGCATACGACTCGGCGTTTTCCCCGACCTCGTCACCTACAACACCCTAATCAACGCGTATAGTCGTTTCGTCAGCATCGATGCAGCTTACTCAGTTATCGCCCGAATGAAAGAAGCGGGTATTCCCCCCGACGTCGTTTCGTACAACTCGTTAATCTCCGGTGCGGCAAGAAAAACCTTGCTATCGAAATCTCTAGAACTTTTCGAAGAAATGCTCGCGAGAGGCATAAACCCCGACGTGTGGAGTTACAACATCCTAATGCATTGTTTGTTCAAGCTCGGAAAACCCGACGAGGCGAATCGCGTTTTCAGGGACATTGTGCTTAGCCACGAGGTTTATCCCTGTGCTGCCACGTATAACGTCATGATTAACGGCTTGTGCAAGAACGGTTACGTTAGCAATGCTCTAATGCTGTTTAGGAACTTGCAGAGGCACGGGTTTGTGCCTCAGATTTTGACCTACAACGCGCTTATTAATGGTCTTTGCAAGGCGAAGCGATTGGCCGATGCGAGGAGGGTTCTGAAGGAGTTTGGGGAATCAGGGTTTGAGCCCAACGCCATTACTTACACTACGGTTATGAAGTGCTGCTTCCGGTGCCGGCAGTTCGAGCAAGGGTTGGAGCTTTTGGCGGAGATGAGGAGCAGCGGGTACACATTTGATGGATTCGCATATTGCACGGTGATTGCAGCGCTTATCAAGACTGGACGGATGCGAGAGGCTGAGGAAATTGTTGAGTTGATGGTGAGTAATGGCATTAGGCCGGACATCGTGTCGTATAACACGTTGATTAATCTTTATTGTAGGCAGGGGAGGTTGGATGATGCATTGAGGTTGTTGGATGGGATTGAGGAGGAGGGTTTAGAGTGTGATCAGTACACGCACACCATTATTGTTGATGGTTTGTGTAAGGCTGGGAATTTTGTAGGGGCACAGCAGCATTTGAATTATATGAACTCCTTGGGCTTCGGATATAATTTGGTTGCGCTTAACTGTATGATTGATGGTTTGGGTAAGGCCGGTCATATTGATCATGCCGTGAGATTGTTTGAAGGGATGGAAGTAAAGGACTCGTTTACGTATACTATTTTGGTGCACAACCTTTGCAGGGCTAGAAGGTTCCTTTGTGCATCGAAGATTTTGATTTCCTGTTTGCAACGTGGTTATCAGGTGTTGAGGGCTACTCAGCGAGCTGTTATCGTTGGTCTCCGTACAACTGGATTTGCAGATGAAGCCAGGAGAGTTAAGTTGAAGATCAGACATGTACGATTGTTACAGTGATTACGTGGCATCAGCTGTTGGGAACTTCAGATATGGAGCATTTGTTAGTGGCAACTTTTGTGACTCAATGAAAGATTGAAGCTCTGATCATATAGGTCTCATGGTTTGATGATCCCAATAACTGTCTTTCGAAGGGAAACTATTATCGATATGCTGTGAGACATTTGATAATTTACTGTTTAAGGGGGTTAACTGCTACATCATTTGGTGATTATTCCTTGGTGTTCTGGATAAATGCTTCATATAGTAATTGCTGAGTGATGTTGACTGATTAGTTCTCATGAACGAGATGGAAACATATACGCTAATACACAAGATTACAAAATTTGAATTGATGGAAAATGGCAATTTAATACTTGTGGACATTCTTGATGTGGTTATGCTGATAACCGGAAGATTCTATACTACTATATGGAGCATCTAGTATGGGTGAAAATTGGGAAGCATGTTATATTCTCCAGTCTCTCCACTGCCCATTTGGTAGCTATTAAATATATTCAGTCACATCTGTTCAGGGTTCATATGCCCTGATGTGGTTAAGTGTTCTTTCTGGGCATGCTTTATGTGGTTCTTCTGCTAATTGGTATGTCACTACTTCTTCTAGAGCACCCAAACTTAAGTTGATTCTAGCGATTTAGCTCTAGGAAAGTTGCAGCTTTGAGCATCCTGCTTGAAAGCCAAAATTGCATTTTAAGGGGTCAATAAGCCTAGAGCTATATAGGAGGTATTGTAACTCTGTTTATGGTAGCCTTGGTTTCATTCGAACTCAAGTTTAGTGGTTAACATTGCATCAAATTTCCTTGGTTACTGTATCCAGGTAGATTTGAAATCTGTTTTTGTTGGCAGAAAAATGGAGCTAGTTACATTATTGTTGGCTCAAGAGTGGGGTTGAGGCATGTTCTTGTCATCATTTGTATATGGCCAGTCTTTGTTACCCACTACATTCCATTGACATTGTTATAGACTAAGCACATTGTTCTATGGCTTGACCAATACTGTGGTGTTATGTAACATGCAAATAGTTGAAAAGAATTGGTAACATATAGCTGGAAAATATTATGTATCATCATTACCTTGTATTTAGATTTATGTTATAAGCTATGAAATGAGCATCCTCAAATTGCTTCTCTGATATTGAATTCGCCCCTATTGCTTTGATTATCACTTTGTGACTTGCCTTAAATTCTAAATCAACATTTTGTTGAGGATATGAAGAGTTGTTTCTTCTTATTCTATTAATATCTGTTTATTTTAGTATTTCAGTTTTGGATGTTGAGGGTGACTGTTGAAAAGATTGTTGTCAAAATGATGATATTAAGCTTATAAATGAACCGTGAGTCATTTGCCTTCCTAAATTTCTCATCAAGCCAGCATGGCATATCTACTCCATGATCCTAAAATACCACATTTATCACCCTTAAGAACCTCCCTCTTTGACATACTATATCGGATTATAGCATTAATATTTTTGGTTTGAAGTATGAATATTGTCAAATGGATATTTCAGCTTATAGCTCCATTATTTGGAGTGTGTGTGTGTTAAGGGAATTGTCAGTGGCTTCTTCAGTTGCTATCTTTTCTTTATGCTTCTTTTGCATGTTAACCATGTTTCCTACCGAATACTATTGGTTTTCTCCATTGATTTTGTTGGATCCTTCTCTCTTTCCTGCTCTATGTAAAACTCTTACTTTCATTTTTGTTGCCGTCCTGTGAAGTTGTCATCTTTCATTTTAAAGATTGTACTTGACTACTTGTATCATTTGTTATCAATTTGAAGTTGATGCTACAAGCATATTTTGCTTTGCTATAGCCTAAGTGCTTGGTTTACTGTGTTCAATACGATTTTTGTTTCTTGCAGCCATGCTTTACAAAGTTATAAACTGTTATATGTGAGAGCCTTAAGACAACTGGAGATGTAAACATGCTAATGTGAACTTAATTAGACAACAGAGAGCTATTTTGACAACAATATTATGTTATTCCAATTTCCAAATAAATCAATTGTTAAATTTCTTCAATGTTTTCCTAAAAGCCTCTTATAGCAGGCAGTTTTACATGCCTCTTTAAACAAGCACCAAAATAACTCGCCAACATAAAAATTGGCATGCATATTACAGTTCTTGTTAACATTCCAGCTAGCCTGACTAAACACAGCAAAATAAGTTGTGCTATATTCAGCTTCATGTTGATAATTGGGGATCCCTTCTAGTCATGTTGAGTACATCTTGATCATCCTTATAGTTTTGCCATTGGAGAATGTTGTTTTTCTCTTGTTTAGGACTCAACGAGGAAATATGTGGTCAGATCTTGTTTGGGTGCTCAGAAAATAAAGAAAAGAAGAGGCAGTAAATACTAAATCTTTATTTTGTTAATACTTACTTGGGGTCACTATAATTTAATTGTTCTGCAGAAGGATTCTCATTGTGTTTGCCTGGGTAACTGTCACATTATCATTGCCAGATTGCATGGTTGACTACCCTTTGGGCATCTAGGCCATATGATCTTGAATCACACAGAATGTGAGGAGATGGAGAGGCAGTCAATGCCAGAATTTTTTAGCTTCTTCAAAGGTTTTCTGTTTTCTTACGTATAGGTACATTTCTTCCAGCTTGCTTCCCTTTCTTAGATTATGTTGCATTACATTGATTTTTTCTAATATAGCCGTGCTTAAGATCTAGTTGTACATGAATTTATGACATTCTAATGTTCTTTAGCAATTTCTCTGTTTCAGCTTCCTGCACTTCTACATCATCAATAGTATTAGAAAATAAAAGCATATTAATAGAGGCTATGAGAATACAACTAGAGACCATCCCAAGACCCTTTTAGCAGTTGAGTATATGTAGATCACAATTTGATAACAATAGCTTTGATACACAAAGAAACAAGGTCTATTCCGCCTAATGAGATGACTGTAGCAGCTCCGTTTATGCCAAAAATTCAACAAGTGCATCAAATAGACAGAAACTATAACAGGAGGAGCAGGTTCATTACTTCTAGTTCCTGTTTCAACATCTACCTTTGGCTTCTTTAAAATTGATTGTTATGCAAGTACAAAACATAATTCAATGTTTCAAATATTGCATTCTAGCACAAGTTGGTAAAATAATCACTATATCCAAGATACCTACTATACTGATTGATTTAAATGGAATTTTGTGATGTGCTAATAACTTAGTCACCTTGAAAATACCAGTGCAATCCATATCAAATATCATCCACAGTTACGTCAAAATCTTAAACAATGTCGTTTCATGTATTCAAGAAACTGTAACAATCTATTTAGATAGGATGTGTCTTAGTAAAACCTCAAATCAGAGGTCATTTGGGGTTTGTCTAAACTTGGGGTAGCCTGTGTTAGGCACATGATGATGTGATAGATATTCCAACCACTGATTCAAATTAGGTGAGTTACAAGAACACAAAAGAAACATTCAATGGACTTATGTATGATTTTGAAGAAGATTTGATATTTTATTTGTAAATAGTACTAGAATTTCTGTAGATTTTTATTTAGAAAATCTGATTTAGATTAGAAATTGTTCAAATTTAATCAAGAGTTGCTATTCATAGATTTTACTAGGATTTGGTTTATATTTTATTATGATATTTTTTCATATTTCATTAGTAGAATTAATTTAGGATTTCGTTAAGATTTTATCTAAGATTTGATCATAATTTTCTAGTGTAACTATACTAGTATGTGGCATTTCAAGCTGTATCAGACAGCTGTAGCTTTCTGGTAGCTGTCACATCATGTGACAGTTATAACAAAAATACTTTCTAGCTTTCTGTGTTAGGGCTACGTGTGAGCATATGGGCTCAAATGGGGCCAAACCCACACTATCGATGGTTTATACTCGAAGAAAGAAGAAGTGTATAGGTAGGGAGAGTGACATGGCAGAGAGAGATGTAAGTGGTTAGCTAAGTCCATTATAGTAGTGGGATGGGGGTGTTAGAAGGTATCTTTTTGGAAATCAAGAAGTTAGTTACGAAGAGAGAGCTGGCCTACTGATTTTTTCTTTTATATCAAGTAATATCAGCTTCTTCTCCTCTTTTCCCTTGTTTGAGTTATTTAAATTCCTTGTTGATCTTTACCGGTTTGTATCACTATGGAATAGTTGTAACGCTCTGAATTTTGATAATATTAATCATTATTGTTGATATATATATATATATATGTGTGTGTGTGAATATTTATATGAGAATGAATGTTTGAATGTGCATTTAAGTGCGAAATGATGGAATGCGAATGACATTTTAATGTGTGGTAATAATGTATGAGTATATATGTATGTGCATGTGAATAAATACAAGAATGTTATGCGGGTATGACTGGACTAGGCTGGAAATAATAGGCTAAGTAGCTGATGCAGAGTGTTCTCGCTGCAGAGAGAGGATTCTTGCTGTAGTGAGAGTGTCCTGAGAAGAAGGAGGCTAAACTGTCGCCTTCTCGTTGTGGCGAGAGAGCGACAGTGGAGACTGCATTTTTGGATGCAGACTCATTGTAGCGAGAGGGCCTTGTTGTAGCGAGATTCTGCAGAAACTAAAATGCAGTTTTGTTTGAGATTTTCGCTATAGTGACAGAAGGTGTCACTGCAGCGAGAGATGCCTCGCTGTAGCGAGTGTCGTGATCTAAGGGATTTTAAAAAGGAGTTTAGGGATTTGAGAATCATTTTTCTCAATTTTCCTCCTAAATCCCTTCGATTCCCTTGACCCCAAATCCTTTTCTCACCAATTAATTGCCTCCAAAGCTGTTCGTGAGCGAGATTAAAGTTCGGATTCGTGTGGGGAACGCTTGGAGGTGAGTTTTAATGGTTAGGGTTCTATTTTTTATTCCCTTTCTCTGTTTTTGGGGTGAGTTTTGGGTTCTCATGGAAATAACTCGTGTGTTTAGGCCGAAATCTGTGCGAAGAACATTTTCGAGGCCGAATTTGTGAGTGGGTCTTCAATTCAAGGTAAAAGGGGACTCTACCTTACTTTTTTGTGCATCATTTGTTGTTATTTTGCCGACTATTGTATTGTGGTTGAGTTAGAGAATAGGAAATTGATGAGGAATGTAATGTGGATCACGTGCCGTGATACGTGAATATTTTGTGTGTTTACCCGAAATGAAGAAATAGTGATTGTATGTAAATGTTGTATGATAAAATGTGGGCTTGTATGCCGAACATTGTGAATGGGTATGAGCACTTGTGCCGTATATTTCGAATGAATAATATGAACCAATATGGGCCTGAGGACTGTGTAATACAATA